AAAACAAAAAATAGACCCACTGCCTCCCCAAGAAGCATGTCGTAAGAGTCGACTAACTGGGGGAGCTTCCTTTAAAGTCAGAGTGCATCTACCTGAAAGGCAAGGAACCAGCAGTCTGCATACAAAAGTTCAAATCTGTAAAACAGATGCACACGCAAAACTCAGGTCCTGGAACAAAGCCAAAGTCCAGAAATGGACGAACAACCAGGTCTTTCCACCGGAGTTTTTAGCCAGTGAACGCAAACAAACAACATTAAGCGATAGTTTTGGTTAGGATTAGGGTCAAGGTTAGGGTCAAGGTTAGGTAAATGAACGGAAACCTTGGCCTTGAAAGAAACCCGCTAAAGCACAGAAACCAAGAAAAACCCGCCCATATCACCCTCTAATATATTGGACTGTCCCGTGACGTCATTTGTGGTCGGCTAAAAAGAAAAGTCTAAAAAATGTTAAAAGAATTTTCCCACAAAACATGAAACGAAAAATGCATTTTAGGCATGTTCATACAAATTAGATTATTGGCTTTGGCGTGCATGTGGGGTTGTAGAAGTTGCGTTATTCCTCAATGATTAGTGCAACTTCTTTTTTTTTTTTTTAAAGCAAAATGTCCAATGTAAACTATTTTTCTGTGACGAAGTGTTTAGCTGAAACAGGTGTCCAAATGTGAAGCTTAGGTTTAAACAAGGTTTAGGTTTAAACAACGGATCGACATCATGGCACAAGGCTAGCAACCCATAAGTGCTCCAGTCTAGTCTACTCTTAACTCGTGTTTCAAACAGTTAAAATGTCCTAAGGGGAATGAACTCCAAGCAATGGAGATAGCTTGAGTTCACGTGCGTGCGTAGGTAATTCAAGTTTCATCTTTATCGTGATGCTCTTGTCTTTGACTCGTAAGCTTCTCTTCACCTCGCAGATGTCATGTGGTTGTGCATGCTTTTTGGATTGGTAGAAAAACTAAGGAAACAAAATTACAACATCAAAAGTAATCGTCTGTCAGGATGTAGGTTTGGCAAGCGGACGAGATGACCTACCCATCAAATATGTGAGCACACTACTGACAGTCGTTCGTGAAAGTCGTCCCCATATGGGATGCAATTTTTCGTTATTCGAAGCTCCACCCTGGCTTTTTGCCAGGGGTCCTGAATATAGCTGGGCCATAAATATGGCCTAGGCCATTGATATGGCCATAACGGCTGAAAGGGTTTTTGGGACCTCTCCATGGGTGATCCTAATCCGTATGGTGGCCCTTTGTGTCACCAGATGTTTATTGCTTGTGTGATGTCCTGATGGGGTACAATTACCAACCAACCAGCCAGCTCTATCCAGTACGACAGTATCAGGGACACGGTTTTTGCCCTTGATGTTTAGTATCTTTGTCAGACTGTATGGAAGTGGTTGAACTTCTTTGAACAACATCTGTATACAGTCTAAGTTTCACAGGTTTGCAGCAGCCCTGGAAGCACCCTAGCTATGTATACATTCAGTCTAGTTTGAAGGCTGATGCCACTTCGGTGCCAGATTTTGATGTATAGTCTGCAAAATGTGCAGAGTGCTTTAGAGATCCTGATGATTATCTCAATATAGTACAGATTAAATCCAAAAGGTCTATTTGTCAGTCACAAAACAGATTGAATACAACAAGTTTAATATTGCTAGTGACAAAGAGAAATGTGATAATCATTTTAATTCCTTTAATCATAAGGAAGATTGAACACAATATATGTAACACAGTCCAAGAAAAGGAAAATATAAAACAGGAATATAATACAGATGAGTGTTCAATGATTTTTTTTTTTTTTTGAGTGCTATCTAAAACAGCCTGTCTGTGGTGACTACCAACTTGTGTCCTTCTGAAATGGACATGATAATTGGTTACTGCATCTCTTAACAGGCAAGATGGCATTTGACTGCCTTTCAAACAGCACATACAACATGTTCGAAACCTGGCATAAATCAGTTTCAGCCATAGTAGTGCTTTTGTCAGAAATGTGATCTGCACACTTCTGCATTCTATGCCATTCTTCTTCAACTACTGAGTTGCAGCCCACTGGTGGGTCTGGAAAAGTCCAAATGAGCTGCAACAAATTTCTGTCAAATCATGTAACTGAGTCGAGTGAGTTGTTGCTTTTTCTTCAAGGATTGCAGACTGCAGGACCAACACCTCAAAGATGACAATAAAACAGGCACAAATCTTGGAAACCGAGTTCAGCTGTATACAGTTATTAAACTACTTCCCCCCCCCCCCCCCCTCCCAAAAAAAAAATTCAAATTGCATCACTACATCTATCAGAAACAATGCTCCCATCACACATATCAGATTGTCTAACCTTTAAGCAGCATCAGATGCCATATTAGCTGACAACTGCGATTTTGTGACATAGGATTTCAGAAGAAGACAAAATAACTGGTATTTACACTTGTTTTTGTGTGTGTTTGGTTAGCTATCAGCTGGGCTGTGAAACAATTGGTACTGTTCTGGTGAGCCACAGGTGCACACAGGTTGAGGAACACTGTTCTGGTGGGTCACAGGTGCACCCAGGTTGAGGAACACTGTTCTGGTGGGTCACAGGTGCACACAGGTTGAGGAACACTGTTCTGGTGGGTCACAGGTGCACACAGGTTGAGGAACACTGTTCTGGTGGGTCACAGGTTGAGGAACACTGTTCTATGCTACTGTCAATAATGAATTTACAAGCTTAAAGCTGCAGTGTAATTTCAGTACGCTTACAGTTTCAAAAACAAATTAAACATACTTTTGAATGACACCAGTGTACTGTAGGTTTTCTTTCTATGTTTATTGTTTTAAAATCATCATCATCATCATCATTAAGTGCCATGCCAGCTGGCGTAGGCATTCATGCACCTTCGCAGATCTCAGTCGCTGGTGTTCTGCATCAATTCCACTGATGATATTCCTCCATGCCACTGTCTTCAGATATCCATCATTGTTTTCTTCTTGGTCTGCCTCTGCCTCTTCTACCAGTGATCTTTCCAGTCATCACAATATTCTCCAGTGCTCTTTTTCTCATCACATGGCCAAAGAACTTTAAAAAAAATAATACTCAAAAAAATTCTCATTTTTGCCTAAAACAGAGTGACTTAACTCTTTCAGTCCCAAGGAATGCATCATATGATTATAGGCTCCTGTCTAGAAGCCTAGTGAACACAAGATGTGTCGATTTTACATCTCTCCCTATTTTACATTGGGCCTTTGATGCTAAACCCCCTGGGAATAACAGAGTTCAGCTAAATGACTAAGCCTCCATGATGTTAGATTTGCCTCTATTTCACACTGGTTTAAATCGAAGTTTCACTGAATGAAAATTGATAATTTCTCAGCAATATAATTCACAAACTTATATTTTAAATGAGTATACAACAACTTTTAACAGAAGCTAAGGAAGTTGCGTGGTCTTGAGGCATGATGTCCGCCTTGAGTGCTAGAGGTTCTGGGTTCAATCCCTGGTAAGGGCTGCCTTTTTTTTTTTACATGGACTTGGACTTCTAGTAATTCCCCCTGGTCTCTGGGTAGTTGAACACGTTAAAAAATGGCAGTTGGAAATCGAAAAGAGTAGCCCAACTGCGCTGCTTGGGCAAAATCTGGAGTTAAAAATCTACCTAAAGTATTTCAGGATCCTCACAGGGGCTACAGAGCCTGTGCACTGTGCTGAGCTTCTTCGGACTCAGACTTGAGTTAGAAGAACGGAACACTTATGGGTTACTACTTGTGTGCCATGATGTTGATCTATTGTTCGACCTTAAACCTTAACAGAAGCTCAGTTGATGTTATCTTTGTATTTATATGTATAAAATACTTCTAATCACAGCCATTAAAATACAATTTGTGAAGGAAATGAACCCATTTTTTGTGCATCAGAAACAGCATTCATTGCATCTCAGCAAAATAGATTGTACTAGCACAGACCCCAATGGAATGGACCAGCAGCAAGAGCATACTGCATGAGAGCAGCAGGCTACAAGGCAAGAGGCTGACCAAGAAAGAGATGGGTGGATGGAGTAAAAGAGACACTAAAGAAATGCAGTATGACATTAACACAAGCTAAAGAACTAGAATAAAACAGTGAACTACATGTAACTCCCCTTTGTGACATTTTATGGCATAAACATTAGGATAAAATAAAAAAGAAGAAGAATAGAGAACCCAAACATAATTTTGAGGCCATGGAGTTATGTGACATTTTTGGTCATGAAGTTATGTGACATTTTTGGTGATAAAGTTATGTGACATTTTTTGGCCATGGAGTTATGTGACATTTTTGATGAGGAAGTTATGTGACACTTTTGGTTTTTGGAGTTATGTGACATTTTAATGAGGGTGTTTTCATGGCAGCTCTGGGTCCAGCTGCTGTTGCCTCTCTGCCTGGTAAAGGTTACATCACAACCAGATACAAAGGAGACTGCATACACAATTCAAGAAGCAGCTTTCATGACTGAATATTTGTGTCAGAAGTAAGCTGCAATTCCAGTGTGGGACCATTAGTGTTGGCACATCTAACAGCTACCTTATGCATTTTTATTTTGCACATGGAAACCAAGATTTAACCGGAACTAATAAGTTTTTTCACTAGTTTTCAAATGAGAGTGAAGGATATTTTGTGTGAACTCCTACTGCCACAGGACCGCAGCAATTGGGGGCAGACACATCAGCAGTGATGTAGGAACCTCGATTATCAACTAACCCAGCGTGCAGTCTTATGTAGATGAGGAATGAACAGCAGATTATCATTTTCATGTATTACTACACAGCACTGGAACAAAGGGCTTCTGGATCATGGTTTTAGAATATATTATCATGAAATAATGAATTTAAATGTCACAAATCACACAAACATGTGATATTTAAAGTTAAAAAAAATTATTAAGGCAACAATTATTGCATGTACTTTCAGTAATGGCAGCTTCTCCCCAAACTAATCTACGCATCAAGACATATCCCAGATATTAGCCTCGACTGCAGCACGTTGAACATGAAATTGTGGCTGTCAGGCATCACTAGAGTTGACTTGGACTCCCCCAGATGTGCTGTAACTGGCATTGTCAATGCCTGGCTCTGGGTTGGGCAGTGGTTGTTTACGGAAGGAAGAAATGCCGGGACTGTTAGTGCGCTTGAACACAAAGAAGCCAATGATGCCTGCTAATGCTACCAGTACAAGAACACCGATGACTATGCCAGCAACTGCTCCTCCAGCCAGACCTGGGTTTGATAGGGAGTAACAGACAAAGATCTGTTAATGTTTTTGTACGGATGTATACAATTATGTTTTTAAAAAAAATCAACAAATAATACCATTACAGTGGCTAAATTAAAAGCAGAATAGGTCAAGCGAAAGCTGCATTTCAGAAAATGAAAAAATCATGCAATAAATTGCTCTCATTTAATGTCAGAAAAAGGGTGCTAAAATGTAACATAGCACCTGTTCTGCTGTATGGCAGCAAATCTTAGAATGTCAGTGAACAAATTTGGAAGAATTTCGAAGCAACAGAGATGTGGTTTCTGAGACAAATGTTACGAATACCTTGAACGACCATAGTAACTAACAACGATGGCTTGAAAGAAGCTTATGAAAGTAGATCTCTATATACAACAATAATAAAGAGACAAGCACTGTTCTGTATCCACATAATGAGAAGAGAGACATTGGAGAACATTGTGACAACTGTAAAGATCAGTGGACAAAGGGGTAGAGGCAGACCAAGAGAGATGATGCTGGATGGGCTGAAACAATGGCATGAAGGGATATCATCAAGAGAGCTGTTCCAGGCAACCAGGGATCGTGATCTGTGGAGACACATGAGTGTCCAGTTGGCAGGACACATAATGATGATAGTGGCTAAATGCTTTATCTGCGGATCTGAAGACTGTGCGTTCTGGTCCTGACAAAGCCAGACTTTTCTTCAAATCTTAGCTTGGCTCCCACGTCGACCAGTCCTTAAATAGGTACCACTTCTTTTCTTTGATTTGTTCCACACCTATTCTTCTTTTTATTTTTTACAGTTATTAATATGACTTCCTCCTGTGAAAGAACTGGTGGCCTTAAATATGTCATGGGAAGTAAAAGTGGCCAGCGTGATGTTGGCCACACTACCCATCAAGTGCTGACTGGTCTATAGAAAATATTAGTAAAGGATTCTTTTCCCACCTTCAGGTATATTGGGCATATAGGGCTAGACCTATATTTGTTCTTTCTATTCCTTCACTACCAGTTGTTTCTAGATGACAAAGGTACAGGCCTCAATGAAGCTTGTGGTGTGACCCATCTCTTTCACTGATCTTCAGAAATGTCTTCTGGATGGGAAGTGCTCCAATGGGTTTGAATATCTGTTTGATCTATCTTCACAGGTGCATTCAAACAATCATGTGACTACTGGGAACTGAACCAAAACCACTGACTTTATCAGCAGTACAGCGGCAATATTGACACCATGAATTCATTTTCAAGGCTTGACGAGAGAAAACATCCTGGCACTACCATAAACACTGCAGACACAAAAATACTAATAATAACAACAACAACAACAGCAGCAATAAAACAGGAGCAACAAGAATATAGACAAATGTACAACAGTGTGACTTACTGCTGCTAGTGCTGGTGTCACTTTCTGCCGAGTTGATCACTGAAAAAGAAAAGCACACAATCAGACCACTAGTAATACAAAGTATATACAGGATATCCTCGTCTTACGAATGAGTTCCCTTCAGCCTAAAGAGTCAGAAATCAAATTTATATTTTGCAAAACTATTTTTATTCAAACAGATCATAACAATTATACATAAAATACCTATGTACATATAAACAGATCCAGTTATGGGGAACTTTTCACCGTACTAACGTAGTTATCTTTCTATAACTTCTATTTTTATTTTTATTTTTTCTGTGGTTGTGCGTGTGGGTGGTCTTGAGTGACATTTAACCCAACCAGAACCACCCAATGAGCGATTAACACCCTGGTGACTCAAGGTGCCACCATTTGGATGAGAAAACCCCCCCAGGCGAAAGTCCAAGAAAACCTGTTTAACCATTAGGTTAGATTAGGGCACCTGACGACAGCCAGGGTGGGAGCTTTAAAATAACAAAAATTGTGTCCCATGTTCGGGCAGAGATTTAACCATTGATAGCCAATGGTCTTAAGTTATATAGGTCATGAGTTGAGAAAATGTGCTTTCCAAATTGTTTATGCTGTTGACATAATTTTTAGGCAAACTTAATATCATGATGTAGATTCATTCTACATCAGTCTTGATAGTGCTCTTGACAGAGCTCATCAACGAACATTACATCTCCCCCCGACACTTCGATGAGGTACAAGGTGGAAGAGAAGAAGAAGAAGTAATTCATTCTAACAGCAATCCAGACATTGAACTAAACCATGGTAACAGAAATGGACACGTACATAAATTATGTCTATGAGAACACCTTCACACTGCAGCAGACAAACCAGTGTGGTGCCACACACAGTTTGAGAAGCTTTGTACTGCACAACACAGGCGTAGACATGCCTGAATGATTTTTAAGAGAAGTGATGGAGGTGGAGGCAATCACTGCAGCTCTGAAGTGGATTGCAGAAAACACGGAGTTACCAGATAAATTATAGTGTGGGATTCTTAGTCTGTACTGAGGAAAGTTCAAAATGGACAAATGTGGTATGAGTGAATACAAGGGATCAGCATGTCGACATTACAGAGATTCACCTGGATATACTGTCCTGGACATATACGAGTGTGAGGGAATTAAAGAGTGGATTTTCTGGCAACAAAAGCAATAGCTGTGGGGACACTCGGTTATGGCAAAAGAGACACTCGGATGATCATTTATGAATGAATGTTGACAGACAACACGAGGTTAGATGAAATAACATGTTTTCACAGCATGCATGAAAGTTTCTCTTTGTCCAGTCAATTTTCCAGCCCTATGTGCTTTCATTGGCAATGCATTTTCAAAGAAGTCTGCCTCTCTAATTTACTTTCCTGTGTGTGTGTGGTGTGTAGGGGGTGTGTAGGGGGTGGTGTGTGTGTGGGGGGTGATGTGGGGGGTGGGGGTGGTGTGTGTATGTGTGGAGGGGATGGCAGGAGGGGGTGGTTAGTGTGTGTGGGAGGGTGTGTGTGTGTGGGAGTTGGGGTGTGTGTGGGGTGTGCTGTGTGTGTGTGTTTTTTTTTAATTATCGTCATCGTAATTTTTTATTTTTTATTTTTTAAATGTCCAATAACTTGTTACTGACTGCAAAACTTTATAGAGTGATGTAAGACGGAGGATCTTGAGCCTGAGAATTTAAGGTCTTATGGTTAGTACTGTCGCCATGCACTATGCAGGTTAGGATTTTAGTTTCTGCCCCCAACATAAAAATCTCTGATGATGTTAATCCAGGTAGGCCACATGAAAGTCGAACGCTCTAGCCACTTGGCCAAGCAGTTAAATCAGCAGGTTCTGGCAACCAACAGATATTCCAACTCCCAACACATCTTCCAGAAACTAACTTCAAACAGCCAACAGATATGCCAGAGCACACAGGTGTGCTAGGAAATAAGGAAGCTGATAGGCTCGCAGGGTTGACTACTGAGAAGGGCAGACGTGCCATGGACCAGACTGATATACTGAATGCTCTACAAGAAGTAATCAGTTCTCGTTATGCCTAGTGGCACATGAGGCTTCAGAGAGGACTTTCCATGATTTCCTGCCCTGTGCAATCTTCAGTGCAGTTTTCCATGTCAAAGATGCCGCACTCAGGTCACTTTCCATCGTTCGTCTCCATGTTGTTTTTGGGCAGCCCTGTTTTCTCTTTCCCTCTGGTGTCCATGTGAGAGCTGTTTTGGCAGGTATATCAGAATTCATTCTCATAACGTGGCCAAGCCATTTCCATCTTCTCTTGGTAATCATACTGTCTAAAGTTTCTTGGTTTGTGGCTTGAAGTAGTTTAGTGTTTGAGATTGAATCTGGCCAGAACATTTTGATAATTCTACGTAGACATGTGTGGTGGAAGGTGGACAGCTTGTGTGCATCCTTTTTTGGTCATTCTCCAGCATTCTGCTCCATAAAGAAGAACTGGCAAAATGATGCTCTTGTAGAGTCGGAGTACAAGAAGTAAGATGTTTGTAAAAACCAAGTGATGACTGTGAAATTGCCAGACTGCAAGAACAACACGTTTGTTAACAGGGGTGTGGCCAGACAATATTATGCAGGAAGCCAAAGAAGAATGTGAAAAAACCAACACAGAACTGGTGTAATTAGCCACAACATTCTGTGAAAGTTACTGAGGAGTTGATCCCAGCACTTATGGACTGAACGGTTTGATGTGCAATGAGGGTAGTCTATCAACTAACTAGCTAACTTGAACAACAAACAGAAATGCTGGACTTACCGTTTGTTATTTTGCACAAATAGGCATTCAGATCAAAGCAATCTGTGTCAGCCCACTTGCCGTCTGCTGCTAGAATCTGTCCAGGGAGATAAATGTGTGCATCTCACTCAAGACAACTGAACAAGATAAATAAATCTTCTTCATTCTACATGCTGGTGGTAGGTTCTGAATGCATACATTCTCGCCAAAGGGAGATAAATACATGTACCTCACTCAAGACAACTGAACAAGATAAACAAATCTTCTTCATTCTACACACTGGTGGTAGGTTCTGAATGCATACATTTTTTTTTGCCGAAGGGAGATAAATATATGTATCTCACTCAAGACAACTGAACAATATAAACAAATCTTCTTCATTCTACATGCTGGTGGTAGGTTCTGAATGCATACATTCTCATCAAAGCAAGGGCTTTTACATCTTACTCATTTTTTTTCTTCCTCTTAGCATTCACCAGCTGTGAATTCCGGCAGAAGGTCCTGGTAGTTCGTCCATTTGGACTTCTGGCTTTTACCTGGACCTGAGTTTTGCATGTATATCCGTTTTACTGGCTTAGTTGTTTGCCATTTCCTGCCTCACCGGCAGATGTACTTTGACTTTGAGGGATTACTCATTCTGATTTCCAGCTACTATGGGATTTTTAACAAGCACAACATACAACAACAAAACCACCTGTTGTCAACTCTTATCCAACAAGTTCAACTTAAAAAAAAGAAATGACCCTCTTTTACACCAGGGACATTTCCAGGTAAGATACAATTTGTCATTATTTTCCATTTGGTGATACCAAGTATTTATAGGTCTGTCATGATATTATCTCTCCATTGTCTTCATGTCTGCCTCATGGTCAAGGAAAATGCGACTGCCATGTGTATACAGTTTTGACCTTTCTGTCATCTGACATGACATTCTCTAAATAAGCTCCAGCCTATTCAGTCTATTTGCTCTCATGTTGTGATCAATGGTGATCTAAACAGATTTTGAACTTCATTCTTTCTTCTCACTCTCCATTCCTCACTGTTTGAAACTTTGATGAGTCCAAATATTTGTTGTAAATTTGTAATAAGGCCTTATCTTTTTTAGTTGTGCTCCAGGTTTCAGAACCCTATAAAACAAATGGTCTTATAAGTATTTTATATAATCTGATCCTGTTGTGGGATAGAGACTTTGACTTTAGCAGATGTTGAAGGGCATAGTATTCTTTATTTCCAGATGTTCTCTCTTAATTTTGTTTTTAAATTAAATATTTGGTCAGAACATGCTAAAACAAATATGGCCCCCCATATGGTTGCCACAAGTGTGCATATTGCCACTTTGAATGTAATTTTTTCATTATAGTTTTTTTCCTCACTTCTTCCCTTCTGTTTAACCTTAATGTAACCGAAAGAGATAACTGGCAATACATGAAACAGGCTGCTGTTGACTTACAAGATGACCAACAGCCCACGACACGGATTATAAGAAACTCTCACCTTGCCACAATCCTGATGAAGGGTACTGTCTGGATTATTTGGCTCGCCAGTTTCCCAGTTGAGGTATTCCAACTCGGTGTTGTCGTTCCATGCAAAGCCAGCTGAATTAAAAAAGCCATCACATGTCTATCATTGTCCAGAAACACAGTATCTCTACTGATGGATTAGCTATCATAAGTCATACCTTGTTTGTATCTTACTAAATTTTGCCTGTCAGATTGGCCTATGCTCAACACTCAAGGGAAAGGTGAGTGAGTCAGATATACAATCAAACAGTTAATGGTACTATTGGGATTGAAACTCTTCGCTTGCAGCTAAAGATGGGGACAGAGCACTTATGGGAGTGCCCCAAGTGCTGTGATGTCAATTCTTAATTCAACATTCTGCCAGTCAGATAAGCATTTTGGTTTGACAGTTCCGTGTCACATTCACAGAGGAGACAGATACTAGACAATCTTATGTATGAAACCACAATAAAGGTAGAAACTACAAAGTTGTTTTCTCTTCATCCTTTGTATGTCATCACCAACTGCATGAGCCAATATTGTTATTTACAGAGTAACCCCTAGAATACACCAGAGGGCAACATCGCAATCCCTTTCCAACCCCCCCCCCCCCCCAATGGGGCTAAAGAGCCCAGAAGGGCACAGGGTGGTTTAAAGCCAGTAAAACTACCAAGCCAGGTAAAAAAAATGGTTGACACATGCCCAGTGTTTGTAATTGTAACAGACTCTGAAAGCATGCTGAGAAAGGTGAAGACAGGGATGCTTTGAGTAAAGTGGCAAGCTACACTGAGAAGGTCACGGGTAGTGAGCATACTTCGGATCTTTTCTCTGGGCTATGCTGGTGTGGTGGGTAATGAACAGGCAGACAGATTGGCTGGATCTGCACCACTGGGTGGTGAATTGATACATGACAAGGCAGATGTGGTCAAGGACCTTTGGGAACAAGCCGCAGAATCAGTAGAGATAGAAGATTATTATGGCCTGGAGAGAATGAGGCATCGGGGTGTAACCAGAGGGTCTGACCGGCTCACTAGACTCAGAGGAAAGGCAAGACGGACATATAACCAGATTGTGACCAGTACCATCAGTACTGGAACTCCGCGCTGGCTGCTGAAGATGAGGATGGAATGCCTCGAGTGCTGTGATGTCAATTCTTGACTCAACTCAACATATACCCAGTGTTTCTCATTTTTTCACAGCACACAATGACACTGCCTAATCTTGAAAAAAAATGTGGTGCTAGAAACTTACTTGCTTGATCCTTATATAATCCAATCCAGACATCATGTCCCAAATTTCTCAACCGGCTAGCCAAATAATTGGCTTCAGTTCTAGAGTGGATACTGGCCAGGCTGCCTCCCAGGACAGTGCATGCGGCGCTGGCTGCTGCCCATGACTTCGGGGAGGAGGATTCAATATTGTAACAGTTGCCTCTGTATGCGAACCAGCCCCTGTTTGGGCAGTTGGCGGTTAATCTGGAGGGTCTTGTGGCTGGCGGTGGTGATCCTGTTGAGAATGAATGAATTCTGGAATAATCATGAAGGTCACAGTTTGGCTGTTTAACATGAAAACAGTTGACATATTACAACATGAATACGACAAAGAGGTGTTGTCAGATCCAGTTTAGGTGTCGTGATAGTTGTTTCCTAGAAAGTTTACAGATCTGTTCACAGATTGTTAGTTCCTTGCTTCTCAGGCAGATGCATTCTGACTTAGAAGAAAACAGATTCCATCGACCCCGGCCAGGTCCCATGTTAGGAATCTGAAGCAAACAGATCATATCTACCCCAGCTAGACCCCATATTGGAAATCTGAAGGAAACAGATCCTATCTATCCTGGCTAGGCCCCATGTAGGGAACGTAATTCTAGGATGACTCCAGAGAGCTGTAGATAGGTCATGACTTTTGTGACCTCTGGTCTTGGTGCACCACCACATATGGTTAAGAATCTCTGCATCATCATCATCATCATCATCATCATCATCATCATCATCATCATTATCATCATCATCATCATTATCATCATCATCATCATCATTATCAGGCCCTTTGCAGAACATCGCTCTCAACACGGCCTGCTGAAAGAAACTCGGTCTCTGGCCAGCTCTCCCGCCTCACCTACTTCCATATTCAAGGAGTCCCTTATATCCTGTGCCCATCTTTATGTTTGTTGGCTCCTACCCCTCTTTCCTGGTACCATGTCTTCTGCTATCAATTTTTTCAATCCACCATGGCGCTTGATATGACCAAAATATTTCAGATTCTGGGACAAGATGTTGTTTATTAGCCAGTCTTCCTTGATATTCAAATCTTTTAAAATGTCAGTATTTCTTCAATTCTTTGTCAATGGTATTCTGAGAATCTTTCTATAGCATGTCAGCTCAAAAGAATTAAGGAACTTGATTTTAGACCTCTCTGTGAATTCTGGGATTCCATTTTGGGAGTAACAGAACAGACCTGTCCCCTTAACAAGAGTGTTATAGGAGGCGACTAATTAGGGGTGCTTTCTTCAAAGTGCATCTGCCTACAAGGCAAGGAACCAACAGTCTGCATACAAATACTAATAAGTCAGATCTGTAAAATGGATTCACATGCTAAATTCAAGTTCTGGAACAAGACCAGGCCAGGAAGTGGACAGTCAGCCACAACTTTCTGCCGGAGTTTACAGTTGGCAAACCTGACCCACACACACAAAATTGACCCCCCCCCCCCCCCACCCCCAAATAATACATTCAGGCTGTTACACTATTCCTGTACAAGAAGATAAATTGAGTTCTAAGTATTCATTTCAATTATTCAGTTAAAAGCAAATATAACAAGTGTCACTTACCAAAGTTGATCTCACAGACAAAAGGTCGTCTGCTGGTGCAGTTGTTAACATTCCACCGTCCGTCCAGAGTTTGAGTGACACACCTCATGCCTGCTTTAGTGTTGGGCTCATCCTGAGCCCAGTTGGTGTATCTGACTGGCCAGCCATCTTGCCAGCTGAATGTGGAGCTAGCCTGGATATTTATCAATGGAAAGGTTTGTATCATGCAGTGCACCTCTAGATCTTCAAACCCATATATATCATTTTCTTCTTGTCTCTACTTCTGGAATGCCTCATGACGTAATGGCAGGATGAGATCTCTGGAACAGGTCCTTCTCTTGGCTTCATAAAAAAAAGATCCTGTTTCACACCGTTAGGCGCATCGGTTAAATAGGTAGAGCGCCCATATTTTTACACACCATCGGCACTAGGTGGGTAATGTGTCAGCATTGAGTCGGCTGTCTTTACTTCCCCAGGACAGGCATCCTGGTACCCATTTTAGGCTGGGTCGACCTGCGACGCCCCATACCACGATAAAAATCTATGCAGCCAGCAGTGGGTTTCGATCGTGGTACACTGGAATTATGAGTTGGACTTACTATGCCTAAGCCATGAACGCTGCCTTCACTTCATTTATGGTGTATATATAGCACCAGATACTTTGACAAAATAATTAAATGTACTCAATATTATTTATCAATTAAAAAAATGTATTATAATTTATGATGGATACATGTTTTATAGTTGTATGATGAGAATACTCTAAACACAGTCAAAGAGTAATGAAGATGTCGAGAAATAAGCTGACTCACAAAAAGAACTGATTGTCCACATCAGAAGTAGACAAATGGAGTATGTCATGACTGTGGGTAAGGTGGAGGGGAAAAGAGGTGGAGCCAGACTGAGAGAGAAGATGCTTGACAGTCTGACATCATAGCATGACTGACCACCTGTGTCAGAATTGATTGAAGTACATGAGACAGAAGACTATGAGCAGACATGACTACCAGTGCCACACAGTATGGACAAGAATAAAATGAAGATCAGCCCAAAGGTTAGGAAGCATGGTAAAGATGATGTCTTTGAACAAATAAAATAAAGCAAAACTATTAACTTTCATATTTGAACATATCTGAAACAAGGTTATGACTGAAAAGACATGGACTATGAAAATTATTTGGGAATCACTGGCAAGACTGACCCCAAAAAAAGTAACAGGAAGGCAAAGAGATACCTGTATGGCTTAGCCCAGTGGTCGGCAAACTCATTAGTCAAAAGAACTAAAAATCAGCAGTCGAACAATTTGTTGAGAGCCAAATTTCTTTTCAAGAACCATGTTTTTCGGAGTCGGATCCGATTTGTGGCTGACTGGCCGAGCCGGACTCAGGTTGCTAAAGAGCCGCTTGCACTGGCTTAGCCATATGGATTGGGCAAGACAAGAACAGTGACCTGATATGTGATTCTTGAAAACGTGGGGAAATGGTAACACATGACAGTGTACACTTTGGGTGTGTGGTGAGAATTACCTGGTCAAATTGAAGCCCCACCCAGAACTTCAAAGAGTCGTTGACATGGCCTGTGACAATATCAACAAATGCTTGCTCGGTCCTGGAGACAAAGAAACAGAAATCAACTGATTCTCCAAACAACACGATACTATATTTTCATTATTATAATTCCTTCTTTCAGTTCTGCTGTTATGTCTTTCAGAAAAGAGACTTTCTGATAAGTTCTGAAAAGCCTTCTGGATAGAGACTTTATGTTTGCTTTGAATTAACAGTGATCCTGCCATTTCACTAATTCTTTGCTTGTTTCAGTCTGCCTAAATGCACTTTTACAGTTTTGCTGCTGCTGCTGCTGGACCTGTAAAAGGACCTGCTGCAGCTGCTGCTGCTGTTGCTTCTTCTTCTTCTTCTTCTTCTTTTTCTTTTTCTTCTCCTCCTCCTCTTCCTCCTCCTCCTCCTTCTTCTTCTTCTTCTTCTTTTTCTTCTTCTTCTTCTTCTTCTTCTTCTTCTTCTCCTCTTCCTCTTTCTTCTTCTTATTATTATTTTTCTGCTTCTTCTTCTTCTTCTTCTTCTTCTTCTTCTTCTTCTTCTTCTTCTTCTTCTTCTTCTTCTTCTTCTTCTTCTTCTTCTTCTTCTTCTTCTCCTCTTCCTCCTTCTTCTTCTTATTATTATTTTTCTTTTTTTTTCTGCTTCTTCTTCTTCTTCTTCTTCTTCGTCATCTTCTTCTTCTTCTTCTTCTTCTTCTTCTTCTTCTTCTTCTTCTTCTTCTTCTTCTTTTTCTTCTTCTTCTTCTTCTTTGAGTTTACTGCTGGACTTTTGTCTTGACCTAGAACTTCATTTCTGCGTGCACATCCGTTTTACAGATGTGGATTATTTGTATACAAACTGTTAGTTCCTGCCTCTCGGGCAGATGCATTCCAACTTTGAGAGAAACCCCTAATTAATTGGTTCTTGTGACACACTTGTCAGCTTGGCATTGTGTCTATTATTTTTTTCCATCTGGGGCCCTGGAACCCACCTAGGGAGGCAGTAAAGCAGACAGCCTTTGATTTATCACCACCGTTGTGAAGGTTTAACTTAAATGCCATTTTTTTTAACCTTGAAGCATTCGTTTGTGTATGCAATATAAATTATCTTAATGTATTTACCACGATAACTAGGGGGTCTCTGCGGTGAAGTGTTCAAGTCATTTGCTTCATGCTCTGAAAGTCATAGGTTTGTTTCACAATTGCATCATTTGGTTCGCAAGAGCAATTTTTATGGAGGTCACTGGGAATGATTGCCTAAGAGATGATGTTCCTGCTTTGTGCAACGCTCTGTGCAGGCAGCTAGCTGTTCTGGGAAGAGAGACTGAGCCCTATGGGATAAAACCTGGTGCAATGAGGTCGATTCTCTGGACTATCTTTTAACCTTTCAACTACAGCAAATTTATGTGAAGACAGAAGCTTCAAAACAAAACGAATGTTTTCAAGCATAACCAAAATGATATTGTGGCTAAACTGAGAACTCACCCACTGCTGACAGTTGCTAGGTTACCGCCATCAAGCTTACACGTGCTCTCTGCAGTCAGCCAATCGTAATTGTCCTTATAGAATCTGTAGCAACTGTTGCGGAATCTCTGGTATCCTTGGTGACAACCTGTGGTGTTGGGGGCTGAAGTAGGCAACGTAGGATCTAGGAAGGAAAGGGGAAATAATACAGAAACAATCTTTCACTGACTTATGTCCCACTGTAGTTCATAGGCCTCATTTTGGGGAAAACAAGAACAGACCCACTACCTCTGCAACAAGCATGTCATAAGAGTTGACTAACTGGTGGCTTCCTACAAAGTCAGAGTGCATTTGCCTGAGAAGCAAGGAACCAACAGCCTGCATAACAAAAAAAAGTCAGATTTGTGAAACGAATATGCGTGCAACACTCAGACTTTGTAACAAGACTAAAGTCCAAAGATGGATAAACAATAAAAACCTTCTGCCCAAGTTTGCAGCTGGTGAACATGAAGAATAAAACTGATTTATGACTTTTGGCATATCCCGCTTGACCTTCCTGTAAATACTCCATCCCATCTGTTACAACAGGTGTGGAGTTCCAGTTCAGATGGTACCAGTAACAGTCTGATTGTATGTCCGTCTCACCGCTTCCCTGAGTGTTCAGTGATGGCCAGATTACCTGGACACTTTTGCTGTACCACTCTCATCAGACGGTGATGACTTATTTGTGCCCCCTGCACTGTTCACTCGCTCCCAAAGGGTCCTTACAAAACTGTATCGCTACGGAATCCTCTACAGCTTCTTCTCCAGGTTTTTATTTAGACAAATGATATCAGTCAAATATGAATATGGTACTCATCCAGTGACTACACCTGCTTGTCACTTGGATCTACAACCTCAGATTTCAAATCTGAGTATCAAGTCACATCATTACTACGACTACCTATCAGACATAACTCTTTGATTCCCAAGGAACACAGCATATGTTCAAAGATTCCTCCCTAGAAACCCAGTTAACACATGATGCGTCGATTTTAGTCTCTCTTCACTGCCCCTTGAGCCTATGATGCTAAACTCCTTGGACTCAAAGAGATAAGGGAGTCACTCTAGTATATCCGCTAGATGCTGGCTTGCAGATCTCAAAGTTGTGGGCTCAAATCCAAATTGAGCAGGGCTTTTTATAAAAATGACCTTGACTGCCAAGTTGATCCAGTCTTTCCTGGGCACCAAGTGAAGTCCTGGGAAGTAAAGGTGGCCAGCGTTATGAGATGTTGATCACATCACCCACCAAGTGCCAGTCAACCTATAAAATATAGATCTAGCCCTATATCCCCTATGCCTGAAAGCACGGAAAAGGGTTCGTTACTTTTACTAGTCTCCTTCTTGTTCACCAGCTATAAACTCCAGCGGAAAGTTCTGGGTATTCGTCCACTTCTGAACTTTATTCCTGTTCCAGAACCTGAGTGTTGGGTGCACATCTGTTTTACAGATCTGACATGTGTTTGCAGACTACTGGTTCCTCACCTTTCGGCAGATTCACTCCAATTTCTAGTAATTTCATACTGTGGCATCTATTCTATGTTCATGTTTTAACACAAGGTTTTGAAGTGTCAGTAAAATAAATATATGTTGAATATTATCAACCATTTACATTTCCTTGCTGTGAGTGGTTTTTGTAGGGGTTCCAGCACACTGGTTTGCCCAGGGGTCCATAATGTTGTAAATATTTTGAGGTTTGGAACAATGGATCAACATCATGGCACATGCGTAGTAACCCATAAGTTTTCCGTTCTTCTTCTAACTCAAATGATGAAGCTTAGCACAGTGCACAGGCTTCTGTAGCCTCGGCGAGGATCTTGAAATACTTTGGGTAGATTTTTAACTCCAAATGTTGCCTGGGCAGCGCCATTAGGCTACTCTTTTCTATTTCCAGCTGCCAAGGGATTTTATACGTGAGCAAAAATGCACACGGGCGTCTGATCTCACTACCCAGAGACCGGGGGGAATTTCTAGAAGTCCAAGTCCACGTGAAAAAATCCCAGCCCTTACCGAGGATTTAACCCAGAACCTCTAGCACTCGAGGCGGACACCATGCCTTGAGACCACACACCCTCTTGTTGTAAAGATGGCTCAGGCTATGATGTTGGGTCTTAAATCAGTAAATTTTAAATGGTATAACTGATCATCACTGCAGACCGTTTCACTCACCTTTCCTAGTTTCACAAACATAGGCCAGTGGGGTTCTACAGCTTCTGTCATACCAGCCCACTTTGTTGCGTCTCGTCTCTATATCTACACAGTCTCTCTGAAAAGTGCAAAAAAAAGGAACAATTTCAATGTATCCATGGTTCTTCACTTTCACTGTTTTGAATTTTACCAGTGATATAAGTTACTGTCGGCTCTGTAGATAAGTTGATGCAAACGCTTCATAATGCCGGGTTCGATCCCTGCTGCGGGCCATGCACCTTGCGTTGGTTTTAACAGTGGTATCAAAAAAGCCGACCGTTCAGAGGCAATGGCAAACTACTAGATGTAAATTTACCTAGAAAAACCACACAACAGCCAGGGGCTGTTAGGGTTGGTTCTGCAACGTCCTGTAAAGGATTCGCAACAACAATTATTCTTATTATGTTCTTAAACTAGGATTAAGCCACATGATTCCCCGTCCCCTTTTCTTAGAAAATTTGAAACGCCTAGAGTGGGGGTGTGGAAAGTTAAGGCACCCAATATTAACCATGACCGTGATTAGATGACCGCTTAGCAACTGGGTGTTCAACAGCCTAAAGGAGTTTCTGACAAGGACATGGTGACAGACGAGTGAAAACTCTAAGATTCACGATGAGGTCTCTGACCTCGAGGGTGAATGGCAGACTGGACAAAACGCACCGAGCAAAGTGTTTTTAGTGAGTTGGCTCAGAGACCAGGACTGTGACCAAGATATGCTTTTTGACTGCCAGAGTTTTCATAGTTGTCTGCATTCAGACACGTAGCAACGGTTTAGGAAATGTTTAGTGCTAGTGTGACTGTTTGATAATTTAAGTGTAATTAGGAATAGGTCGTTTTTAACCTGGTGTTCTGTAGAGATGGTTCAATGTGGTTAGTGCTACCTGGTTGGAGTATTGTTCACCCAATTTGTAATCTGTATATTAGCAAGGTGGTTCGAAAAGGGGCTTTGTCAGTATAATATGAAGAACGTGATGATGTCATGGGCACTGTGTTCAGGTGACTCAGCACGGTGACAAGGTCAGTCCGACCACACTATCCAAAGCCGTGCAGAGCCACCGCAGTGGAGGTGTAAGTCACAAGAGCTCAGGAAAGAGCTTGAATCGAAGACTGCTGATTCAAACCCAGTTAGCAACCGTAAGGCCAGTGCATGGGTAGTGACTGTAAAGCATACAGGCAGGTGTATGGTGTGGTTGGTAATGCGGACCGTTCCTGGGACAAACTGCTCAGTGCTTGTTGTGATTACATTACAGGCTGCTCTGTATGCTCTGATGGTGTTGGGTTGGTTGTGTTTGAGATAGACCCAGGAGACACTTCTCTCATGAGTTGTCAACGAGCTGTTGCCTTCAAGACAATGAGCAGCTCTTTGACAGAAAGGCACGGCTGACATTTAGCCTAATTATTCTATAGAAATCTGGCAAGTAATTCAAATACTCAACTCAGTATGTTTGCTGCATCTGTAACAGTGATGCTCTCACTCTTTGTTTTATGTTCACTGTGATCACTGCTATCTTGGGAATGTCCACCAAAATATCTTCCTACTTAAAGAGTTAAACTGAGTTTAGAACTGACACCATAGCATTCAGTACATTCCCCTAAGTGCTCCATCCCAATCTTCAGCAGCCAGCACAGAGTTCCAATGCTGATGGTGCCAGTAGCAGACTGACTGGTGAAAATTGTTTAAAAAAAGGGGTGGTGGTGTTGGGGATGATGATGATGGAGGTTGTGTGATGATAATGATAATCATGGGGGTGATGTTGATGATACTGGTGAAACAGTCAAGAATTTGTACAGGGTGCCCAGTAAGCTTCTTTACATAGGAACAATCAACCTTTTTTTTTTTTTCTCAAATGAAAATCATTTTTAAGTAAAAAATTTTAAAAATTACAGTTAAGATCCCTTTTCATGAAAGAAATTCACGCAGACAGCAGTGGGTTTCAATCATGGTTTGTCGGAATTACGAGTCAGACTCACAACGCCTAAGCCAAGGATGCCGCAAAAATAATTGTTATTCATATAATATGCTATACGTGACTACCATCCTCCACTGCTAAACAACATGTTTAAGCATAGCTGTATTGGCGTTGGTGATATTGTTATTTCTCCTATGTGTGGACACTTAAGAGGAGCAGTTGGCTGAACAGTTAGCATACTGGACTCTCAATATGAGAGCTGAGAAACAGGTTGGGGAATTTTTTTATGTCAAGACCAAAACCAAAAAAAAAAATTTTTTTAATGCACAGCCGATGGTGACAGCCCTAACCACGCAGCCCTAAATCCTCAAGCTCAAAGACCCCAAAACCCATCTCCTGCCTCCACTGCAAAAGTGTGAAATACAGGCAGAAATGGCCTGAAAACTTATGGGATATCCTGTGATATCCACACAGACATTGTTAACATGAAAATGTATGGGACCCCTGTAGTATCCACACAGACAGTCCCTGACACTCACCCTGCTGCCAGGTCTATTATTACGACGATTCTCATCAGGTTGTCCAGGTCCCCAGTTAGTGTAGGTCACGGGGAGATTGTCCACCCACACAAACTGGTTGTAGAAGGCTTCATCATGAAATCCAATCCAAGCTGGGTTCCGTACATTGGCAAGAAGGGTCACAATAAACTCTGCAAGGCAAGGCATCGATTATTGCTAACACAGCAATATCAGTAAACAACAGATCAAACGGTTTGGCCTATGTTACAAGATTAGCAACAGACAGGGCACCACAGAGAGCAATGTTAAACAGAAATAAGGGTAGCAGAGCCAGAGGTTGACCATGCAGAAGATGGACCGCACAAATATTGGAGACACTGGAAAGAACTTTATATGAAATGAACAGAAGGGCTAATTCCAGAGATTTCTTCCTGCCCTGACACTGTGAGGCATTCCATGAATAGAGGAAAGAAGAAAGAAGAAGACACAAATATTGCTAATGACATATTCAAGCCTAAGGAAATAAAATAGTCTCAATTTTGGAAAGAAAACTTTCATAGTGATACATGAATCAAAAATTGCCAAACGACACTTGAATAGGAAACAAAGCCCCCCCCCCCCCCTCCTCCCTCCCCCTACATGGCAGTAAATCCTCAGGCTCAAAGACTCCCCTGCCTACATGGCAGTAAATCCTCAGGCTCACAGACTCCCCTGCCTACATGGCAGTAAACCCTCAGGCTCAAAGACTCCCCTGCCTACATGGCAGTAAATCCTCAGGCTCAAAGACTCCCCTGCCTACATGGCAGTAAATCCTCAGGCTCAAAGACTCCCCTGCCTACATGGCAGTAAACCCTCAGACTCAAAGACTCCCCTGCCTACATGGCAGTAAACCCTCAGACTCAAAGAACTCCCCTGCCTACATGGCAGTAAACCCTCAGACTCAAAGACTCCCCTGCCTACATGGCAGTAAACCCTCAGACTCAAAGACTCCCCTGCCTACATGGCAGTAAACCCTCAGACTCAAAGACTCCCCTGCCTACATGGCAGTAAACCCTCAGACTCAAAGACTCCCCTGCCTACATGGCAGTAAACCCTCAGACTCAAAGACTCCCCTGCCTACATGGCAGTAAACCCTCAGACTCAAAGACTCCCCTGCCTACATGGCAGTAAACCCTCAGACTCAAAGACTCCCCTGCCTACATGGCAGTAAACCCTCAGACTCAAAGACTCCCCTGCCTACATGGCAGTAAACCCTCAGACTCAAAGACTCCCCTGCCTACATGGCAGTAAACCCTCAGACTCAAAGACTCCCCTGCCTACATGGCAGTAAACCCTCAGACTCAAAGACTCCCCTGCCTACATGGCAGTAAACCCTCAGACTCAAAGACTCCCTTGCCTACATGGCAGTAAACCCTCAGACTCAAAGACTCCCCTGCCTACATGGCAGTAAACCCTCAGACTCAAAGACTCCCCTGCCTACATGGCAGTAAACCCTCAGACTCAAAGACTCCCCTGCCTACATGGCAGTAAACCCTCAGACTCAAAGACTCCCCTGCCTACATGGCAGTAAATCATCAGGCTCAAAGACTCCCCTGCCTACATGGCAGTAAACCCTCAGACTCAAAGACTCCCCTGCCTACATGGCAGTAAATCATCAGGCTCAAAGACTCCCCTGTCTACACGGTAGTAAACCCTCAGGCTCAAAGACTTCCATGCCTACACCGCAGTAAACCCTCAGGCTCAAAGACTCCCCTGCCTACACCACAGTAAACCCTCAGGCTCAAAGACTTCCCTGCCTACACCGCAGTAAACCCTCAGGCTCAAAGACTTCCCTGCCTACACCGCAGTAAACCCTCAGGCTCAAAGACTCCCCTGCCTACACGGTAGTAAACACTCAGGCTCATTATTAGCTTTTCGTCGGAAACAACTTGATACCATCTAAGTGTACACCACATAGCCACTTCAGCTCTGTAAACTAAATATATATATATATATATATATATATACACACATATACATACACATAAGGAAAGCAAGAAAACTCACTCTCTTCTGTGCTTGAATGAATAGAAGCTATATTAGCTTTAGGCAACATCTGCTGGCATGCTGCCACAGCGCCAGTGAAGTTTTGCCGTGTTGTGTTTGTGGTCCCTCCCACATAGTAGCAGTAACTCACTGTGAAATATAGAATACGAATACATGACTAACATAGCAGTATTATTCTGTAGTATATAATACAGACTTCTCATTAACCTCTTGTGGTTTCGGGAGCCCCATTTAGGACAAAACACAAGAAGAGACCCACTGCCTCCCAACAAATATGTTGCTTCTTCTTCTTCTTCCTTCTCCTCCGAACTTTCCCTTCTTCCTTCTCCTCCGAATTTCCCCTTCTTCCTTCTCCTCCGAACTTCCCCTTCTTCCTTCTCCTCCCTCCTTCTCCTCCCTCCTTCTCCTCCCTCCTTCTCCTCCCTCCTTCTCCTCCCTCCTTCTCCTTTTCCTCCTGCTGCTGCTGCTGCTGCTGCTTCTTCTTCTTCTTCTTCTTCTTCTTCTTCTTCTTCTTCTGTTTCTTTTTCTTCTTCTTCCTCTTCTTCTTCTTCTTCTTTGCATTCACCTGCTGCAAACTCTGGCAGAAAGTTCTGTTTGCTGTCCAGAACCTGAGTGTTGTGTGCACATCCATTATACAGATCTTACTTATTTTTATACAGACTGTTGGTCCACTGACTCTCAGGCAGATGCACTCCAACTTCAAAGGAAGCCCCCAATTAGTCGACTCCTATGACATGCTTGTTGGGGGGTGGGGGCAGGGAGTCTATTCTTGTTTCCCCCACAATGGGGGGGGGGGGGGGGGGATGGGGAATACATGTTGCAAAAGGCAATTAATTAGGTCGTTTGTTTAACTTGGATGTGCCGAATACCTAGTCTCAGGAATGCTAGCCTCATGAACAAATGCCCAGTGAAGTAGGATATGTCAGCCTTGAAAGGTCCAAATATCGCAGCTATGCTGTAAACAGGAACAATGCAGTTACAACCCTCAAGCGAACGATGAAGAAGGAGAAGAAGAATGGTTAGTGTAATCACTATGGACTATGCAGGTTAATATTAAATTTTTGTTGTTGTTGCCCCTGACAGAAAACACATCTTTAACTATAGCGAGGATTTGATCTTGGGTTTCTAGCATAAGAGCCCAGCATTCTTAACCACCTAGCCAAGCACTCCTCAGTATTCCTAACAGCAAAGCTTACTTATAACTAATAAATAAGCTGTATATGAAAGTAACTTCCCATGTTCGACTGCACAGATCACATACAACAAGTGAAGGACCCTTTTTTTCTCTTTATGCCAGGTGGCATTGGTAGCAAGGAGTTGAAATGAATTTGGTTTGTACGAGATCTGTCGATGTGCTTATTGGGATTGTCTGTAAGAGGGTGGCTAGCTGTCCCAATATTTGGTTCGTTTTTGTTTTTAGTTAATGAAACTAAAAGTATGTAGCTTGGCATTCTGAAAAAGGACTAATTACTGATTAAAAGAACTAATTACTGATTAAAAGAACTCATTACTGAATAAAATAACTAATTACTGATTAAAAGAACTTTGTGACTCTTGGCTGACACACCTAATCACAAATTAATTAGCGAGCTATGAACACAAAATGTTTCGATGATATTCTTCAGGCTAAACAAATCCAATGGTTTGTGGCATACTCCATATAAATGAACCATATCTGTGCCACAAATCCCGATTCGATCTACAAATACTTTTATACCCTTGTGCCAATGCAAAATTTAAAAACAAAAAGGGTTAATAGAAAATAAGAAACTCACATGCAGGGATGGAAACAAAATTACTTGGGCACCCGCCAGTAGCAGGTGGGGGTGTATAGGGAGCCGGCTGGAAATTTCCTGCCCATTTCTCACAGACGTAGCCCAGTGACTTGCCACAGTTATTGTCAGCCCAGGTTCCTGTTAATGTAAATCATAATACAAGTTAAAACTGCATTTAAAATAATGTTTTTCTGTTGTAAAGGTAAATAATGTGGACACAAACCATACATTGCCAAATTTACCAATAAATTTGAAGTTACCCTTGCAATCACAGGGCTAAACTTGAATTTTCAGTGGACAGAAAGCCCAACTTGACTGTGATTTATGTATTTCAGCTAAGAGGTTTTATCTGTGTCTTTCATTTTTTTTTGATTTAACTCTGTAGAAATGACCTCACGAGATACAGAGAAATATGCCTGGCAATAAATTGTGCAACTTTTTGTGCCCACATTATTTAAAGTTTTTTTTTTTCATAATACTCAGTTATATCATGAAAAAATCATCTATATAAATAAAAATGTACTAGTTCATTTGTGGCTAATCCATAATCTCCTAAAGTTCTTCACCGATTGCTACAAAATTATCATACAATCTTGTATTCGAATGCGCGCTTTTTTTAAATATAAGAGTTTTGCACACAGCATGAACTACATAGCTCCAGCGATGATCACATTGGTGGTTTTGTTTTCTGATGATCCCATACTTTTTGTTGCTGCATCTCGGTGCAGGTTTTTTTCCCCGCTTGTAGGCAAACTCTGATGGTTGACCTCAAAAATCTGCATGAAGCTGAATCAGATAATCAATTATTTCATTTTGGGGATGAAGACTGGTTGAAAGGCCTTTAGGAAATGTAAAGATATGGGAATAAAAACAAGTTGGAATTATTGATTTGATCTGATTCAAGAACTGACATCACAGCACTCGAGGCATTCCCATAAGCGCTCCGTCCCCATCTTCAGTAGCCAGCGATAGTCCCGATACTAATGGTGCCAGTAGCTTTCTGATTAAACATCCGTCTTGCATTTCCTCTGAGCCTTGAGCTTCTGCCAGAACCTCTCGTCACCCCCAACTGCATCAATCTCACCAGACTGTGGTGATCCATCTGCTCCTCCGCATTTTACACGCTCTCCCACAGGGCACTAACCAGGTCTGCCCTATCATGTAGCAGTATTCCACCAAGTTGTGCAGAGCCAGCCAGTCTGTCCGCTTGTTCATTTTCCAACACACCGGCGTTACCCGGACTTAATAGTTGTGGGAATAAGAAAAGAATTGTTGAAAGACTGTATGGGAATGAACAGACATTCTTCTTCTTTGTGTTTACCAGCTGTATACTCTGGCAGAATGTTCTGGTTGTTCATCCACTTCTGGACTTTGGTCTAACAGTGGCCACATGTTCCATTTTCCTTCTTATAAGGTGACTAAACACAAGGATGTTAAGTCTCTTTCTGACATTTGTGATAAGTTGTCTTTGAGCCCTCACATTTTTCAAAACATCTGTGTTGCTCTTTTTGGCTGCCAAAGAATTTTAAGGATTCTTCTGTAAAAAACCACAACTCCGAGGCCTCAAGAAATTATTTGGCTTGTTTATGGTTTGACCAAAATTCACGGCCGTGTGTTAAAACTGGCTCTATATAGCACACAAAAATTTGTCTAACCTTTAATCTACTTCAGCAATAACTTAAAATATTATTGTTAAAACAAGATATACTCACCTAAAGATGTCATCACTACACAGCTCTCTCCACCATTGTTGTCATTTGGCTCATTTCTGGCCCAGCTGACATATGAAAGTGGACTTCGGTCAGTCCACCTTTTTAAGAGTTTAAATGAGATTATAAGAGTTACATTTTTCATAGATTATCTTTTGTGCTATAATAAAAGACAGTTATTATTTGTCCTTTGACCAAAGACATAAGAATTCACAAACGCACAAAAAGACCAATTTTATCATAAGAGCTTGACTGTAGCACTCAGAGAAGGGAACACAAGAAGTGATTAATTAACCCAGAATTGATACATGATTAATTACCCTAGAATTTAGAAGTAATTAATTACCCTAGAATTTAGAAGTAATTAATTACCCGAGAATTTAGAAGTGATTAATTATCCTAGAGTTTAGAAGTGATAACTTACCCTAGAATTTAGGAGTGATTAATTACACTATAATTTTTAAGTGATTAATAACCCTATAATTTAGAAGTAATATCTAATTACCCTAGAATTTACAAATAATTAATTACTCTAAGGAAACTGCCATCACACCACTCAGGACACATGCTTTTCATAATTCCAAAATACATGGTTCGATTCCAGCTGCAGGTAATTTGGCAACAGAACACTTTGCATTGATTTTAACAATGGTATGAAGTGTGCTCAATTCAGAAAGCAACAGCAAACTACCAAATGTAAAGTTGCCTAGTAAAACCAAACAGCCAATAGATGCTAGAGCTGGTTCTGCAACGTCCTGAAAAGGATACACAACTAACTTTAGGACAGCAATTATCATACATTTATTATCTGTGACTTCTTATTGTGGTTTGTTTTCATTACAGCATCGGTACTAATGTTGGCATGTTGGCTAGCAACGCAGAACACCTGCTCCGGCAGCCCCTTTGAAGCGCACATAAAACCCTGAGCTTCTTCGAGAATCTCACATACATCCCAAGATTTGTGAAGCAGACCAATTTTGTTAAAAATAAAAATTAACATAAATACAACACTCCTTCCCCAAAAAATACAACATTAGTCAGCTATAAAGGCTCAAAATTCTTCTTTTTTTTTGGCTCTTTATCCCCTAATGAAGCAGAGGCCCTCAACCAACTGTGGCCAATTTGTATCTTTTGCTGTTGTCTGCAGCTCACCTTATGGCCTCCCCATCCTTTTAACCTCACTCTCTAGGTCCTTCCTCCATGTGTGTCTGTTTTTTTTTTTTTCTTTTTGTTTGCCTGTCTTTGTTTTATACCTCTGTGGGTTCGAGTATAAAGTCTTTCTAGTTATAGTGTTCTCAGGTTTTCTTGGTCTGTGTCCTATCCAACCTCAGCATCTTTTCCTCATCACTTGATTCACTGTCTTCTGTTTAGTTCTCTCTTAATCATCTTAGTGATTTTGTCATGCCATCGAATTCTTTCGATTCTACAAAAGACTGAAGCAATAAAAGTATATCACAGTAAATATAAAATAGTCTAACAAATACAGCTACTTACTGTAATGAGTCTGTGTATAGATCATTCAGTCCAATCCAGAATGCAAATGTTGGATTTTTGGTAATCTGCGGAGTGTCAGTGTATGTTATATATTCCACTGATATATTTTAACATGGAATTATACATTATGTTTGAGAACTAAATATGTTTTATTTATTACCTTACAGATGCAAACATACAGGTACATGTAATAGGAAGTCTATCAGTAACCGCCCGCAGCTAATGTAACCTTTTCTATCCTAAGAAATTCTAGTTTAATGTGGCCAATGTTGGAGTCCAAAGAAGTTAAAGTACTGACACTATGAGGCAGAAGGGGCTTAACTAACAATCATTTTAGAATTAGTTAATGTAACAGCTCTCTGAAAAAAAAGAAAAAAAAAAGTTACCACATTTAGACCAAATATTTGTGCCCACTTTAAAGAGAATGCATTGTGTCACCATACCAAACAAGGCACAAACTAAGAGTAGAAGAATGTAGTCTATATAAAATATACCAGTAGAAGGATATAGTCTATATAAAATATACCAGTAGAAGGATGTAGTCTATATAAAATATACCAGTAGAAGTATGTAGTCTATATAAAATATACCAGTAGAAGGATGTAGTCTATATAAAATATACCAGTAGAAGGATGTAGTCTATTTAAAATATACCAGTAGAAGGATGTAGTCTATATAAAATATACCAGTAGAATGATGTAGTCTATATAAAATATACCAGTAGAAGGATGTAGTCTATATAAAATATACCAGTAGAAGGATGTAGTCTATATAAAATATACCAGTAGAAGGATGTAGTCTATATAAAATATACCAGTAGAAGGATGTAGTCTATATAAAATATGCCAGTAGAAGGATGTAGACCAAGAACAAAATAGACAGAAAACATCAAAGAAACTCTACTACAGTATTATGTGTCTACAGTTGAGGAGGCCAGAGGAGCAAGAAACAAAGCCTTATATCTCCCTCGACACCCAGACCTGTAAAGAAGAAAGTGAAGAAGTCGAAGAAGAAGATGTGCCAATCCAATACAGCATATTTTGCAAACAGAAGGAATTCAACATTTTAAAAAGTCCATACTCACCAAAGAGGTAATAAGACCATTCTCATCATCGCTGTTAATGCTTGCCAGATCAGCTCTCATACTAATACAGATTTGTCTGGCATCGTACCAGGACGCTGCAGCCAGGTTCCCATCAGACGGACTCACGAAGTAACAATGATGGTTAAACATGGTCCATGATGAATTACCACACAGAGTAGTTGCTGTCAGAATTTTCCAGAACAGTGTACGTCAGAAAGTCTTCATACATATTATACATATGCACATATTCAGTTTTTGGCTAATGATTACCAAAAAGTGACAGACAAAAACAAGTCATTATACTACACCTTAGAACAGGACAGCAGCAACATACACACAAAATGTAAGATCAGTGAATCAGCCATATGTATATGTGGATTAGCACCTGAGACAACAGATCACGTCCTCCAAGACTGTCCCAAATACAAAAATCAAGGCAAAACATTTGGTCAAGAGAAACACCGGTGCAAGCCAAACTTTTACGAGTCACCTCAGTGAATTACAACAGACAGTGAAGTTCATACTAGAGACAACTTTGCAGATATAGATAATCTATTTCAAGCGAATGAAAGAAGAAGAAGTTGTTTTGGCTAATGTACGTCTCTCTCTCTCTCTGTGTGTGTGTGTGTGTGTGTGCATGTGTGCGTGCGTGCATGCATGCGTGTGTGTGTGTGTTTGTTTGTGTGTTTGTTGGTTTGTTTGTTTGTTGGTTTGAAGTACTGTCCTTCAAGTATTACAGTTTCTAAGATTAACATCTCAAGGATCAAACAGCTGCCAAATCTGGACACCTTGTTTAACTGTACAGCGATATGGAACAGTTACACTGGGGCATCATAAGATGGTACTGAAGTAACAAGTTGTCCAGTGTAAACAGCAATTTACTGTTAGCCATTTTAATTTATTCTCTACATAAAGATCAGCACAGTATGGGCAGGACGGTGCAGCGGGAAGTCACCAGAGGCTCTGGCTGATACTTTACACTCAGAGGAAAGGCCAGATAGACACACAATCAGACTGTTTCTGTCACCACTGGAACTGGACTATGTTCTGGCTGCTCAAGATAGGAATAAGCACATATAAGAATATCTAAAGTTCTGTGTTGTTGGTCCTTAAATCAGCATAGCTCAAATAATAAATACATATATATACACACATACACACAGGGGAAAGGGGAACGACCAGACATTTTAGCCGGAGCCTTTCTAGACCTAAACATACTTACAATGTGATTGTTGTTTGTTGCTAGTGATAGAATATGTTACCATAAAACCTACTTACAATGTGTCTGTTGTTTGTTGCTAGTGATAGAATGTGTTACCATAAAACCTACTTACAATGTGATTGTTGTTTGTTGCTAGTGATAGAATGTGTTACCATAAAACATACTTACAATGTGATTGTTGTTTATTGCTAGTGATAGAATGTGTTACCATAAAAACTACTTAAAATGTGATTGTTGTTTATTGCTAGTGATAGAATGTGCTACTAAGAATCGCCCCCGTCTCTGTGGGATGCAATTTTTTGTTATTTTAAAGCCCCACCCTGGCTTTTTCCAGGGACCCTGAATATAGCCGGGCCTTAAATATGGCCTAACGGCTGAACAGGGTTTCTGGGACCTATCTACAGGTGATCCTCATCCTCATGAAGCACTTTGTATCACTGGGCGTTTATCGCTTGTGAGATGTTCTGGTGGGGTACAACTTACCTAATGTGCTCCTAAAAAAGTACTTACATTGTGTACCTGTAGGAGCTGTCTTTGGGGTTGTTATTACTGATCCTGTACACCAAAATATGGAGAGAGAAAAAAAACAAGTTACGAAAGTGTATTCAAGACACTCAACAAGGAATAACATTCTTCTTCTTCTTTGCGTTCACCAGCTGTAAACTCCTCTCTCCCTGTCTCTCTCACCGTGATGGTACACACCTCGGGTACATTGAGCACACCCAGCGGGTGTAGCAAACACAAATAAATGTGGCAGTGACAAGAGAGATGTCCGGGGCTTGCTCCTTTACTCTGTTGGGTCGGCCACCTTCCCTGCCTCTCATTTTTCCCAAAATCCCACATTTCTGTCTTCTCTCTCTCACTACTCCATGTCTCTCTCACCGCCCAACCTACATAAAGCCTGTGCTTTTGGTCCGAGTGACAATGTGTCTTGTCAAGGCTGTGAGGAAACAGCAATGGAGAATAATTTAAGCGTCTCGGACGTCCACCGGTTTGTGACATCACATGACTTGTAACCTAATATTCCTTCCCTTGCTCTCTCTCTCTCTCTCTCTCTCTCTCTCTCTCTCTCTCTCTCTCTCTCTCTCTCTTCCCCCCTCTCTCTCTCTCTCCACTTCTCGCCCTTGTCAGTCTACTAGGTATCCGCGACCCCCTTCCTTCCTCCTGTGTTGTAAGGTCCTTCCTTGCTTAAAATGCAAATACTGGATGCTACAGGGTGAATAGAATAAGTGGCCAGTCCTGGCTTCGGCAGAATGGTTTGATGAAGGGTTTCACACACACACAAGAATGTTTCCACTGCGTAAATTTGTTGGGGAGCAGTAAACCTGTTGAGCTGCCTGTTGCAGCAAACAGTGATGCCCTCTCATTCTAAAATTAATGTATTTCTATGGTATTATGCCAACATGTTGATGCACTTTAAAATGCAAGCATTGACTAGCGGGACAGTTTTTGACATATTGTTTGATTTGTTCATCGTGACCTGGTATGAAATGACTGGTCGCACCGCCCTCTCGTAAGATGCATTTGTTTGTCGTCAATTTGAAGCCATTCCCTGGCTCTTGCCAGAGGCCTCAGTGTAGCCTGGCTGCAAAGTGTAAGGCGAAAGGCGGTCTCGGAGACCTCTTCACTGTGATCCTCACCAACATAGTGGCACCTGTGTCACTGGTTGTTTATCGCCTGTGTTATGTCCTGGTGGGATTTTTAAAAGAAGGCAGATATAGACTGTCTTATTTGTTACACTTTTGCCAATTTTCAGATTGTTTTACGTTAAATGTAAATATAACGAGTGGCCCTAACTGTCATCCTTCTCTCCCCCGCCCCTGTCTGCTTACGTGGTCGTGTCCCTTTCCTTTCTCTGATGTTCGTCTATATGTTTGTAAAGTCGCCTCTGTGTTCTCCACTCATGTAAATAAATTGATGCAATGTACTTTTTCCTTAATGTAATAATTAACGGCATGCTACCTAAATTTGATAATTGTGAAGTGCGGCGGTGTTATCCTTCACTCGGAGCCCTACTCTGGCTCTCGGGCCAGAGGCCGCAAAGTAGCCCGGTCATAATGGCTTAGGGCGAAACGCAGTTCCTGGGACCACTCCACGGGTTATCCTCACCCACATGGTGGCACTTCTGTGTCATCGGGTGTTTATCGCTTGTGCGATGTCCTGGTGGGGTTTCGATGTGAGATAGTTCCGCTGGCCAATGCAGATATGATGAGTGGTCCTAACTGTCATCCTTTTTCTCCCCCGCCCCTGTCCGCTTACGTGGTCGTGTCCCTTTCCTTTCTCTGATGTTCGTCTGTATGTTTGTAGGAATAATGTTAATAGTAATCAATATCAAACAGAGAACACACTAAAGAGCGAATAAATTAAACGAAGATAAAAGGATACAACTTTTTTTTTTGTTTAAAAAAAAAATCTAAAATGAACATTGTTAAGTAATGAACATAATTGCATTTATAACATAATATAACCTTTGACAACATGAGCTTCAAACCCATTAAATTGGGATCTCTTTATACTTGTGATCTTTCCTCAGAGTATCTTCTTCCTGTTCATCTGCTGAAAACTCTGGCAGAAAGTTCCGGTTGATCATCCACTTCTGGACTTTAGTCTTGTTCCAGAGCTTGAGTTTTGCATGCTCATCCATTTTACAGCCTGGTTTATTTGTATGCAGACTGTTGGTTTCCCACCTCTCAGGTAGATGCACGAACTTTGAAGAAACCACCCCTAATTAGCTGAAATTTATGACATGCTTGTTAGGTGGGTAGTGGGTCTATTCTTATCCCCCCCCCCCCCCCCACAATGGGGCCCTGGAACCCACACAGGAAGCAGGTCTTACCTCTGGGCACCTGGCAGATCCAGTTTCTGGAGACGTAGCAGTAGTCATCGTTCCAAGAATTGCGAGGCAGTGCCCATTCTACACAGTCCTCTCTAAAATTAAAGTCACAATACTGACAATTGAAGAACATTAAAATGGTCATTAACAGTTTGTAAAGTACTGCACAATAACACAGTTACTGTCTACAGTGATCAGTGATTAGAAAAGATTATCATCACAGCACTAAGGACAGATCCATAGGTGCTCCGATCTCCTCCTGAAAAGCTCCACAAGTGTAAAACGACTGATGACGCCTGTTATGTGTTGGTTAATGAAACGTCTTGTCCCCTCTGCGAAATGTTCAGCTCCAGGCTGCACCCCCATGTCCATCAGTCTAGACAGGGATACAGAGTCATGTCCTTTGGCTTGCTCCTCGGTACGGTAAGTGCAGCGCATAGCATTGATAACATCACTTCTGTCCAGTACTGGGCCAGCCATAGCAACTGCAGTGTCAACAAGATAGTCTGCAAGCTCGTTTCCTTGAACACCCACATGACCTGGCACAAAGATGAAGGTTAGGGCAGATATTCATGAAGTGCTTAGTGTTTTAGTCCATTCTTGCCTGATAAATCCAGCTTGGATTTTTTTAAGCATATTCATTGAGTCACTAAGAAAGCATACGTGTGTAAACTTTTGAGTACAAGCCATGCTAAAGCCCTTGTTACAGCCATAGTTTCCATTGTAAGGCTACTAGTTGTAACAGCAAAGGCGCCATTCATCTTCTTGATGATTTTCCCCCTTGAGACTGTTACTGTCTACCCAGATCATGATAAAATCTGCCCACAGTGTTTCAGATATCCCCTATCTTTATTTTCCTTCATTTTGGTTTTCCGAGACAAAATTGGAAATAATATTATCAGACAGACTGTAGGAATAACACCATGCAGCAAATTCATGGAGAAACAGAAAATCAAATGGTTTGGTCATTTAGTAAGAATGCAGCCAGAACAACTACCAGCGCAGGTGCTACACATGAAAAGATAGATCTGAAGTGAAATCAAGAGGCTGCCCTAGGAGATATGGATTGATACCATCAAAGAGGTTCTACATTGACATGGATTTACAATAACCATTGTTGCCCATCAAGATTGTAAACTGTTCCTCCCCACAACGCTTAAGAGCAGAAGTGAAAATTGATGATGACAATGATGTACAATCAATTAATGTGACTTCCCCGTGTGGGTTCTGGTGTTCCATTCTGAAGAACAAAGAATAGACACACTGCCTAATAATAGGCATATCATAGGAGGCGACTAATTAGGGAGATTTCCTTCAAAATGGGAGTGCATCTGCCTGAGAGACCAGGAACTAACAGTCTGCACACAAATAAGACAAAACTGTAAAATGGATGTGCACGCAAAATAATTCAAACTCTAGATCAGGAGCAAACTCCAGAAGTGGACAAATAACCAGCACTTTAAGCCAGTTTGCAGCTGCTGAATGCTGAGAAGAAGAAGATGTCATGACAATAAGAAAACTGGTTCATCGTGATGGTGGGACAGAAAGAGGGGAAAAGAAGCAGACGTAGATAGAGAGAAGATACTTGACATCGTGGCATGGAAGATTATTTGTGTCAGAACTGGGCTATTCTCCAAATAACGGCCACATATTATGGCGGCTAAAAACATACCTTGACAGGGCCTCAATCACATGTAAACTGCAGACTTCTTTCCGGCGAATATACCGCGGCAAAAGTATGAAAAATTTCCGCAAGCGTCGCGGGGGATACTCTCGTCAGTGAAAACTGTGTTACCAGTGTGGCACTAGCTGCGGCTTGTTTCGATAATATTTAGCAAAGTTTGAATGCCGCCACAGCCACAAAGAGCAGATTTTCGGGCACTATTTGCAACTTCTGTGCCACAGTTTTCAGATATAAAGGCCTCCATTATTGCTAAGTAGCCAATTTCATAATTTTCCTTTTTTTTCGCTCCTCATTATTTTCGGGTTCAAGTTTTTGAATGTTTACAACACACGACCTAAAAAGGCCCTGTCAGGGTGTGTTTTTGGCTCCAATAATATGTGGTCGTTATTCGGAGGATAGCCCAGAACTGATTCAAAGCACTTGAGGCTGAAGACAATGGATAGACATAACTACAAATAACACAATGTGTACACTATAAGAAGAAGTAACAAACCTGTTTCCCTGATTGTTAGGCTCACCTCGCATCCAGTTGTTGAACAAATATGGTGAGTTATCAAGCCAGGTGTAACCTGGATATTTTGGAAAAAAAAAAAGAGTTTCAAATATGATATAACTAATTAACTTTCTTTCTCTGTTTCTCCTAGTGTATCTTTCTTAATTGTTTTCTTTAATTCATTCTTACATTGTTTTTCTTTTCTGTCTTTGCTTAATTATTTTGTTGGATTGTTCTTTCTACTAAACATTTTTGCTTCATTTCTTCCCTCTGTTAAAAGATTCTTAATTCAACATTAAAAACAGAACACAATGATACTAAACAGATGTTGTATCATAAACATTATCATAAACATTATCATAAACATTATCATAAACTATCCTCACGGTAGTAGTAATTTATGTAACACTATCCTGTTCAACCCATCCGGGTTATAATTGGGATATAAAGAGTATTTTTTTCTATTCCAGTAATGGATATTTATGCCTACCAATTGTGTGTTTTATGCAATATCACATAGCTTATGTGTTAAGTGTACAAGATTACAGTTTCTCATATTCAATATATTTGTAATGTACTTTCAAACAATTATTGTAATTATACTGTGTAGTCAACCTTAAAGTGATCTAGAATACCATTATTCCATTTTAAAATATAATAACATCTCATATGAGAATCTGTGGTTTTGTTATGTTCTGTTTAATCCTTGCATTCAGTGCTAGACATGGATGGTCCTTGAAAAACCATAAGTGCAAAATGACAACATGTCAGATGTATAAGAAATGTGGTGAGAGAAACCAGAAGAGTTAGAGCCACCAATAAAGAACTAAGAATAATGCTAGGCACAGTACTGGTAAGTAATTTTATAGAACATCAAAGAATCAAATGGTTTGGTCATCTGGTCGAAATGGAGCAAACTCAGCCAGCAGTTAAAGGGTACTACATTAGAACAGCAGCCTACAAGGCAAGAGGTTGACCATGAAAGAGATGGGTGGAGGGAGTAACAGAGACACTTCAGAAACACAGTATATGACATTAACACAAGCTAAGCAATGAGTAACAGACAGGAAACTGCATCCAACTCTTCTTTGTCATGCTTTACGGCATAAGAAGAAAGAAGACGAATCTTGCATCATGGAGAACATAACTAAGCATTCTGCTATCATAGCTATATCTGTACTGTTAAAATGAAAAAAAAAACTGGTGTACACACTAGACTCTGTATCTCTGTCACTCAGTCCAATCCAAAAGATACCGGAAGCATTTTTAGATCTGGGGAGATAAAAGGTAGACAAAACATGGATTAGATCTACAGAATTTATAAAAGACAAAACCTGGCTTAGATAAACATCTTCTTATTTTTCTTTTTCAGCATTCCAAGCCCTTGAGGTTCATTCATGCAGATATCACCCGCCCTTATTCATCTCTCTGGTTGGCCGTCTCTTTCCAGTTGATGGCACAACAAGTGTTTGCAGGTCTGTCTGAATATTATCCATCCATATTTTTCTTAGTCTACCATATGGTCTAAGACCATTCATATCCCTTGTGTACACAGTTGTTAATTCTCTGTCATCTGACATTCTTTCAATATGCCACAACTATTTCAGTCTATTAGCTCTAATGAAGCCAGTGATCAAAGGTGATTTAAACAGATTATGAATGAACATCTAAACAAAGAAAAATCAAATGTGCATCCACCTAACTCTTGAAGCCCCTGAAGGTCACAGGGGATGCCTAAGTGAGGCAACAATGACAGCAACAGAATAAAGGGTATGCTAAATCCACAGAAGCGATGTATACAACCCTTGTAGGAGACTTGTGTAAGTGTTTAACTATGTCCCATCTAAACAAGAAATGTTCATGCATAAAGTATTTAGACTGGTGCATTTGAAGAGATTCATAAAAGCACTCCATCCTCATTTGTAGCAGCCAGTGAAGAGTTTCGATTTTAAATGTGACAGTAGCACTTTGATTATATGTCCATCTTGTCTTTTCTCTGAGTGTAGAGTGTTGACCAGATCCCCTGGTCATTCCCGGCTGTACCATTGTCTCCAGACTATAATGATCTATTAGTGCCTCTGCACTGTTCACTTGCTCCCAAGCATCCTTGACCACATCTAGCCTGTCATGCATAAATTCACTGCCCACTTGTGCAGAACAGCCAGTCTGTCTACCTGTTTTTTCCCCAACACTCCTGCATGAATGACCTGGAGAAAACTATCACTAAATGTGAACTCACGCAACAAAGGTAGCCAGCCAGGCTTGGGTGGCATTGTTGGTCACTGAGATCAGAGATCCTCCAGTAGCCTGACTAGCACAGAAATCTCGAGCCTCCGGCCAAGACAGCTGATCCGTCATGTTGTTGGCAAACACCTAGGAAATATCCAATGTTTTTTTTTTTTTTGAGTTACTGGAAAACATACATTACCTCTTTTAGTCTCAGAGGGTTTAGCATCACAGGCCCAAGGGGTTGTCAAGAGAGACATAAAATCGGCGCATTATGCGTTCATTGGGCGTCTAGGTAATAACCTATGAACGTATAATGCGCTCCTTGGGACTCAAAGAGTTAAATCAGAAATTCACTTTAAAATAATTAACATAAAGAAGCAGTACCTATACAGATAACACATTATAAAATGGCTTTACCACAGATAAAAGCAATAGTGCTGAGTGTTCTTGACAAACCTATTAGTGCTCAGTGTTCTTGACAAACCAGTTAATACTCAGTGGTCTTGACAAAACCAATTAGTACTGTCTTCTTGACAAACCAATCAGTACTGTCTACTTGACAAACCAATCAATACTGTCTACTTGACAAACCTATTAGTGCTCAGTGTTCTTGACAAACCAGTTAATACTCAGTGGTCTTCTACTGTCTTTGACAAACCAATCAGTACTGTCTACTTGACAAAATAATCAGTACTGTCTGCTTGATAAACCTATTAGTGCTCAGTGTTCTTGACAAACCAGTTAGTACTCAGTCCTCTTGACAAGCCTGTTAGTGCTCAGTCTTCTTATGTGAATGTTTCCTGCAACTGACTTCAGCTAGTGCCAACGTACCAACTCTTTTCTATGCTGAGCAAACCCTGAAAAGTATTCAACAATATACCCTCCAGTATCCTCATCAATCAGCAGGTCTTCTACAAACCATCACTTTCATCACAACATGCCTGAAAGTCTCTCTTTCTCCAGCCAGTTCTCCAGCCCTATGTGCTTTCATGACCAATGCATCCTCAATCTCTTCTATCCACTTTAGGGTAGGTCTGCCTCTGCCTAATTTTCTAGAAACTGCATCCTCCATCTTTGGTCTCTCTAGGCCACCACGACATTTAACATAACAAAATACCTCAGCTTTCAGGGAGGATGCTGTTTATGAGCCAGTTCTCCTCGATGCTCAGATCTTGCAGAATGTTGGTGTTTGTCTTTTCTTGGTCCATGTTTACTACACATTTTTCTGTAGCATTTCAGTTCAAAAGCTACAATTTTTTTTTTTAAACATACCAGCTTTAATTTGTTCTTCCTTTATCAGAAGGCTACATTATTCTTTAGAAATAAAGTAACTGTGATATACTGCAAAAATTAGTAAGCTTAACTCTTTGAGTCCCAAGGAATGCATCGTACATTCATAGATTCCTACCTAGAAGCCCAATGAACGCAAGATGCGCCAATTTTACATCTCTCTCGACTACTCCTTGGGCCTGTGGTGCTAAACCCCCTGGGACTCAAAGAGTTAATAGGGGAAAAGAAAAAAGTAGATGGCAAATGACAAAATTGAGATGGAGAAATGCGTAACTGCCCACATCAGTTGGCAGAAATTTTCTTCGTGTAAAGTAAATCTATCTCATGTGATTCCAACTTCCCCAAGTGTCAAAACCCTGTGAGTACAGTCAGTGGCGGAATGTACCACACCGTAAGGTGTGCGTGTTGAGGTGACACCCCAGGGTTGACACAAAGGTCAGGGCCCTGACTGGTCAAGTCTGTTCTGTTATTGCACGGCGAAACCAGCGCTCAGGATAAAGCGTTTGGCCACAGCAAGAAAGAGTGAACTGTGTTGTGGACAAATCCGCAACACGATTACCGCTTTTGGGACTGAGCTGGTAAACGGGGTCAAGAAACACAAGGTAGGGAGAACAGAGGACATTCGGTGTGCGTCGGTCAGGGAGAGAGGACGTTTAGCAAGACAGTGATAGGATTAGAGTTCGGATATTTCTGTTAGTGACTGGATAGTTTATGTACAGTGTTCTGTTAGAATAGGATAGTTCTTGTGTAGAGTATTTATGTACATGTTCTGTGAGAGAATGTCTAACCTTGGCACTCTGACCCAGTGCTAGACAGAGGCTGTGACAGTTTGGTTGGTCAGTGTGTCAATAGTTAAGAGCGTATCTCGCCGTGCTGTGGTTTGTACACCAGGAGATTGCTTGTGGGACGTACTGGGAGCAAGGCGACTGTAAAGCTTGTTCGGCCAGAGGGTCCAGGCAATAGGTGGCCACACAGCGGGAAGTCAACTGTCTATTGTCTTACCTGTACTTACAATAAAGATTGTCGTGTGTGCTCTGTGTGCGTTCGGGTTCAGTGTGTGTTAAAGGTTAGTCTGTCTGTCATAGGCCCAGTTACGAGCCACGGACCAGCAAGGTCACCCAGAGGTCTGTGACACCAAGTGAGTGCCTGTTGGTCTCAAATCATAAGGTTAGTACTCTGTCTTCATGTGTTACAGAACTGGTGCTCTTTCACATTCTGTCAACTAGTTCAGTTTTGGATATGCTGTATATTTTTACTAGGTCTAGTCTGAAAGCTGAGTTGTTTTGGTCATGTTAAATGTCATGGTCGCCTGGAGAGAATGGTGGTGGAGGGTTCAATTCCTGAGAATCTAGGCAGGGGCAGTCTTTCGTGAAGGTGGATACAAGACACTGTATAGCTCACAGTTTCATGCCAAGTAGCTAAGTAGCTGGCCATGGAATCTTTAGATTCCTGGTCCTTTTTCTTCTTCATTTTTAACTGGTTGAAAGCTCAGGTGAAAAGTCCTGGTTGCTCATCCATTTGGACTTTGGCTTTTGTACCAGGGCCTGAGTTTTGCATGTACATCCTGGAGAGAATAGTGGTGGTGGGTTTAGTTTCTGGAATCTAGGCAGCGGCAGATCTCCATGAAGGTAAATACAAGACTTTGCAGATGCACAGGAAATTGAAGATGCTCTGGCTATGAAAGCACATAGGGCTGGAGAACTGGCTAGAGAAAGAGAGACTTTCAGGCATGCTAGAGCAAGAGTGACTTCTGTAAAAGACCCTCCTGATTTATAATGCTAATGAGTTATATTCTTTCACCCTTCCTTCTGGTTCACAGACACAGGTGTCATAGCACCATCTAAGCTGAGATTGTGGCATGCCCAGGGCAAAAACCTGGCAGAGTCTAACCAATAACGTTTACTGCCTGATGGTGCAGATAATACAACTAAATGTTCTTGAACAAAGGAATCAGTTGATAACACCTGGAACCATATCCTGTCCTTACCCACACAGGTTATATCTGAGTGAACAGTGCTGAGGCATTATTAGATCTTTATGGTTTGAGGATAATGGCACAGCAGGGGAGTTACCAGGGAATCTGGCTGATGCTCAACACTCAAGGGAAAGATGAGACTGATGTACAATCAGACTGTTACTGGTACCATCAGAACTGGAACTCTTTGCTTGCTGCTGAAGATAGGTACTAAGCGCTTATCACGAGTGCTGTGAAGTCAATTCTTAATTCAACAGTTGACTGGTGTATGTGTTATAGGCGCCCTAACTTCTTTGAAGGTTGAACAGGGTATCTGTTGGTCTGCTGTCGAGATTTACATTTTCAAATCTCAGGATCGTACAGTAAACTTCCAGGAAGCAACTAACAGATGGGTTAAATACAACTAAAAGTGCTTCAACAAAAGACACTCACTTGATAACACCAGGCCCCGTAGCCTGTCCAGCCTGCAGGACATGGGCCTTGGTTTGTGACTGGAGCCCTGGTGGTTGCCGTGGTGAAACCGGTACGAGGGGATTCACAGATGTAGGACATGTTTGTCTGGCTACAGGGATAGTCCGCCCACAGTCCGGAATGCTGCATGCCCACACAGGTGCCTCTTTCATTGCCTGGTCAGAGAAGAGAATTTCATTGTATATATTTCTGGAGGGAATTGTGCAGCCGCAACTGTCTAGGGCAGTAATTCCCAAAACTGTTTCCCGGGGAGCTGCGACCTCTTCAAAGGGGCGCTGCGAAATATTGTAAAAGCCTCATAATTAATTTAACCAAGACATGAATAGTCATACTTTTACTTAGGTTAGGGCGCAGTGGGAAAAGTTTAATTGAAAAAAGGCACCTCGACCAAGAAAAAATTGGGAAACACTGTTCTTGGGAATATTGCCCGTTCTCACAGGAAAGACAAGAAAAGATTGGGAAAGACTGTTCTACGGAATATTTCCCGTTCTCACAGGAAAGACAAGAAAAACATATAAAATCACTGCTACTGTTATTATCGGAATTGGAACTCTGTGCTGGCTGCTGAAAAGGGGGTTGGAGCAATTATGAAAATGTTCCCAGTGCTGTTGTGTGTCATTTCCGATCTCAACCTAACTCACTGAACAGTGTTCAGATAAATAAACAGAAGGAGAACCTTTGGGGCCTTATAAATATTATATTATTAAACAAACAGGCAATGTATTTATCGGTCCTCACAGAAGGAAGGAGAAAGATAGAAGGATATACTATCAATATAAAAATCCAAAGCTATAGTTACAATGCCAGAAATTGAACTTGTCACCTCCACATCAAATGATGACACTTGTTTCCACAGCAAGGCGCACATGCCATGTGGATGTGATAGTTTTGATTCCCAGCACGGTAACTATAGCTTTCGATTTTTATGTTGTCTAGTGTATCCTTCTATCTTTCTACTTCTTTCTATGAGTGCCAATCAATACACTGTCTGTTTGTTTATTAATATAATATCACTGTATGGCGGTGGATGTGAAATTTTTTTTGCCTAATGAGGAACTACCACTGCTGCTGTCCCAAATACTATTACTTGAATTATTTATTCTCCCTGTGTGGGTTCTAGCACCCCTTTGGGATGGGTAGGGGGGTTGAGGTGAATAGACAGACATACCGCAAATCCCCCCCCCCCCCCCCCCCCCCCTTTCCACAACAAACGAGTCAACTAATCATGGATTTCCTTCAAAGCAGGAGTGTGTCTGCCTGAGAGGCGAACAAGCAACTGTCTGCATACAAATAAACCAGATCTGTAAATGGATGTGCACCAAAAACTTGAAACAAGACTAAGGTCCAGAAATGGACACACAACCAGAAATTTCCACCAGAGTTTATAGCCAGTGAATGCAAAGAAGAAGGAAACAATAAGTAAATCACCTTTACTATGCAATCACTAAAATGCTTGCAAAGCCAGCTGTGTGTGTTTTTTCCGTCCTTGTTAGGTTTACATTTTTTGTTATTTGAAGCCCTACTCTGGCTCTTGCCAGGGGCTGCAATATAGCCTGGTCATAAATATGGCCTAAAGGCTGAACGCGGTTTCCTGGACCTCTCCACGGTGATCCTCACCCACATGGTGGCACATTGTATCATCTGGTGTTTATCGCTTGTGTGATGTCCTGGTGGGGTAGAAAGTCAGTCAAACCCAGTTGTGATGTTTCAAGTTTTTTTTTTTTTTTTTCAATTCTTGTAAAATTTGTACTTCAGTTATAAAGGATTCACTTATTTCCTCATTGAAGTAATTGTTACTGTAGTATGCACTCGACAAAATACAGCAAAATATGCAGGGCAATCAATTGTGCAATCTTTTGTCTGTGTCTTCTTTGTTCAAATTGACAATGCTTGAAATGTTTTTTCCAAATGCCATGGACTTTCAGATTTATCCAGCCTAAAGTCTGCTTCAGGAATGTGTTGGGAAGTAAAGGCAGTGGAATGATGTAGACATCACTAGTAAGTGCCATCTGGTCTATGAAACTATGAGACGCACCACTTACATTAAATGCCGCAGGACGTGGAAAAAGATCATTTACCGACTTGCTTATCAACATGGCTGGTGGCTGGTTTACGTGTGAGCTGATGAAATACCTTATGTAAGAATTCTACAAGTATACAGTAACCAACTTATCATGCCCGACTACTTCCATCAATGAAAAATTGCATTTCTGGTGGCGATTGTTGGCTTTGGCGCCTCAAGCAACTGAACTATGCATTCACTGCGTGCGCATATATTTCTAGCTTATTACGGAACTAGTTGATTTTTCACTGGTTTTTCATATGCAGCAGTGAGGGACATTTATTTGATTTGCACTGGAACAGGAATGGAGCAAGTAAGGGGAAACGATTGCGGTGATGTTGAATCCTCGACTAACTGACGTGACTGACTGACTGACTTTCTACCCCACCAGGTCATCACACAAGCGATAAACACCCAATGACACAAAGTCCCACCATGTGGGTGAGGATCACTGTGGAGAGTTCCCAGAAACTGCGTTCAGCCTTTAGGCCATATTTATGGCCAGGCTATATTGCTGCCCCTGACAAGAGCCAGAGTAGGGCTTCAAAAAACAAAAAATTGCATCCTAAAAAGGACGGGAAAAGTGATGTAATAGCTAACTGACCTACTTTACTAACACTGCTACTTATCGTCAATAAGCAGGCCTTTAGAGAACACATCACTCTAATCAGGGCTGCCTGAAAGTCTCTCTTTCTCTAGCCAGTTCTCCAGCCCTATGTGCTTTCATAGCTAATGCATCTTCAATGTCTTGTATCCACATTTGTGCAGGACTAACTCTGTCTTGTTTTCCAAAAACTTTACCCTCCATCACCATTCTTTCCAAGCCACCATGATATTAAGGTGACAAAAATACCTCAGCTTTCAGGACAGGGGAGCTTACTAACACTAATATTAATATTACTTTAATTACTCTTCTTTCCTTTCTTCCTTGTTTTAAAGTTATGGTGGCTACAGGTCTTGTCTCTCTCTCTCTTCTTTTACCCCACCAGGACATCACACAAGCGATAAACACCCGATGACACAAAGTGCCACCATGCGGATGAGGATCACCCGTGGAGAGGTCCTAGAAACCGCATTCAGCCATTCGACCATATTTATGGCCGGGCTATATTGCGGCCCCTGGCAAGAGCCAGAGTAGGGTTTTAAATAACGAAAAATTGCATCCCACAAGGGGATGACAAGATAATAAAAAAAATTTTATACAGGTCTTGTGTAAATACAATCTTCTAGGTCAATGGTCAACAAACTCATTAGCTAAAAGATTTTTGAGAGCAAAATTTCTTTTCAAGAAATATGTTTTTGGGAGTAAAAAACAATTTGTGGCTGGCCAGCCGAGCCACACTCAGGTTGCTAAAGAGCTGCATGTGGCTCACAAGCCGCGATTTGCTGACCACTGTCCTAGGTTATTGGCAAGGATGGTGACACACAGAAAACACTAGTGAGGCTTGAGCCTTGTTTCAGTGCAATATTATGATTATTCTTTATTATGTGCTGATGGCAAAAAAATATAATTATATATTTGAAATAATATAAAATTATAAACACATACTGGAAGGAGACATTCTATACATGGTTGGCAGATGGGGGAGGGGGTTGGACAGGGTACTGGAAAGAGAACTTCTGCATATGATTTGGGACATTAAGCCCCTTTACAAATTGTTTAGGGAAGGATTGGAGGGAGGGTGTTTCTGTTGCTCCAGGTAACGGCAGAAGGCAAGAGAATACATCTATCTTAGTTGCTCACCTGTGTGATTCTGGCCCCAGTATGTAAATGAAACTGGCCAGTTGGACTGCCATTTGTAAGCTGTATTACTTTGTTGTAAACCGATCCAATATGTCTTCCCTGGGGATGTGTCTAACTCAGCCGACAGGAAATCTTGCAAGTGACTGAAATGTAGGAAAAGATGCATCAAACATATCATATGACACAATTTTAAAGCTACAATGATTATTACTGCTTCCACTGCTTCCATTGCTACTAGTTCAGCTCTTTCTGCTGCCACTAATCTGTCAACAGATTATCCTCATTGCACATCGAACCATTCAGTACATAAGTGATCGTATCCCTTCCTTAGTAAATCCTGCAGCATGTAGTGGCTCATGAACTAGTTCTGTGTTGGTTTCTAATTTTTTTTTTTTTTTTGCTTCCTGTATAGTGCTCTTGTCTGGCCACCTCGCTTTTAACATGTTGTTCCTGAAGTCTGGTCATTGTTGCAGATTCACAGTCCCCACTTTGTTCTCACAAACGTCTTACTTCTCTTAGAGCAGTCAGCATATCAGCATGGTCCCTGTCTACGATAAAGCCCTACACTATTCGTGTCTATGATAAATCCTTCACTGTCTGTGGTAAAGCTCTTCCCTGTCTATGATAGAGCCCTTCCCTGTCTGTGATAAAGTTATTTGTTTCCAGCTTGGTTTTGCTGATGCAAATTCCTTATTTCTGGAACACAAGACCTCCCCGTTTGGGTCCCAGGGCCCTATTTAGGGAGGTTTGGGAGGGGGGGGGGGGACAAGAATAGATCCACTGCCTCCCCCAACAAGCATGTTGTAGGAGTTGACTGGAGATTTCTTTCAAAGTCAGTGTGCATCTGCACAAATGACAAGAAATAACGATCTGCACACAAATAAGCAGAACTCAGACCCTGGCACAAAGCCAAAGTCCAAATGGACGAACAACCAGGACTTTCTACCTGAGCTGTCAACCAGTGAACAATGAAGAAGAAGAAGGGCCAGGAGTCCAAATATTCCACCACCAGCTACTGAGCTGAGTGCTTGGTGTGAAACTGTGAGCTATATATGTCATGCAGAATGTTTTTTATGTTGTGCCCATTGTGTGTTGTTGACAGCATTAAAATAGTGGATGGCCGTTAATATTAAAAATGGACTGTGCTTTTGGGGGTGCAATGCTAGCTTTTGTGAACTATTTGCACCAACAGTGAGCTGCATTTACGGTGTGGCACTGTCAGTGTTGGCACATCAGACAGCTGCTTTATGCATATTTATTTTGTGTGTGCAAGCTTCAAGATTTTGCAGGGATTTACAAGTTTTTCACCAATTTTCAAAGGGGACATTGAAGAATATTTTGTGTGATCT